GATTTCTGAAAGTTTTCGTATTATATCTATATTTACAAAGCTTTTTCAGAAACTTTTTATGCATATAAAGGCACCCCCTGGTTGTAAATCCGCTTTTCGTGAAAGCTTTACGTTAGCCAAAATCGCGTTCAGTATTTTCGAGTGTTGCTTTCTCCAGGTGAAGTGCTCAACTTAACGGAGCACTTTGAATGGATTGACACCCTGAGGAGCTTTTCTACATGTTCCGCCATCCATTAAACTCCCGCTCTCAAGTTTCAAAGTTTATTTCATTTCTATAGACTAAAAAAATAAAGTTTCAGTGATAAGTAGTACACAGGGTGTTTTAAAAAACAGTAGCAGTAGAAAATATCTTTTGAAAAGAGAATGATTTTATGCAGTGAACAGGAAAGGAAGCATTTTGAACATTTGATTTTTTCATCTAGCTAATTTTTGTCACATAATTACACGTTTATAAATAGTTTTAATTCTGTATAAATTCAAAAATGTTTTAATGTGCATTTTTTTTTATTGCCGATGGATATTGTACTCTACATTCTTTAATTTTTAACTAATATCAAATAATAAAGATCTACTGACGCAAAATCGTAAAAATAAAAATATCTAAGAAAATCTATGTCTAAAAGGTAGACAACCTTAATAGTTTTTTGAAGATATATCAATTGTCCATTAAATATCGGAATAATATACTGGGTGTTTCGTTTAAAATAACGGAGTAACTTGCTTTTAAATATAACCAATGTTCAATATTAATTTTGTCTCACCCTGTATGGCTTTTCGGGTCAAACTTTAATTTGATTTAAAGCAAAATAGTTATTTTAACTACATACTAGGCTATATCTGTAAAATTCCAGTTTAGGTAGCTTTTATTGAAATTTAAAAATTGTTCTTCATTTTTAGAAAATGTTAAATATGTCGAAAACCTTGCATTTTAGTCATATACTTCTCTAATGAAACTCACCTTTATTTTCCTTCTAGAATCCGAAAATCAATTAATATATAGGGTGTTCCATTACAAAAAAACACAACTTTGATGTGTAACTTTTTTGGGGGACACCCTGTAGAACTCTCTATATTTTTTGAAGATGCTTGCAGTTAACCTACATATGCTCCCAAAATTTAATTTTGATATAATGTTCTCTTTGGAGCCTCCGCGTCGTGTGAGACGCGCCACCCTGTATATGCTCGCGATATTTAATTTCAATAGAAACTACCGTTCTCCTTGGAGCCTCCTCGTTGTAAGAGAGGCGCCTCCCTGTATAAAATTATTCTTAAAAGTTACTTAAATTTTATCAAAAAAATTATTTCTAAAAACTCAAAATAACTAACTCATTTAAGTTAACAATATGAAAATGCTAGTCACAAATTCGGAATGTTAATTAAAATTAATTTAAAATATCGGCGGTGGCCTCCTCATAATTGTTTTAGGACGTGTTTAAAATTTCAGCCCGCACCAGCGCCAGCGCACGATTTTTCTCTATCTCAGATTTTTCATCTAGAAAAATATTTAATAACTTTCAGGGAAAGCTACAGAGCACGGTTTTTACATTATTCATGGTTTCACGCCTCCTATGATAAATTGTACGAAATTCTTTGATGCAAGCATTGTAAAGTAACTTATTTCGAAACGTACAAGAAAAATGATTTTGTGTAAACACGTGCAGGGTTGTAGACATCCTGGAAATATACAAGAAATAATGTTAATCTGTAAAGTGCTTATACAGGGTGGCGCCCCTCATACGCCGCGGAGGCTCCAAGGAGAACGACAGTTTGTATTGAAATGCAATTTTGTGAGCATATGTAGGTTAATTCAGAGCACTTTTTAAAAATATAGGGAGTTTTATAGGGTGTTTCCAAAAAAAGTTACATATCAAAGTTGTGTTTTTTTGTAATGAACCACTTTATACATTAATTGATTCTGGGAGAAAAATAAAGGTGAGTTTTATAAGAGAAGTGTATGACTAAAATGTGAGGTTTTTGACATATTTAACATTTTCTGGAAATAAAGATCAATTTTTAAATTACAATAAAATCTCACTAAATTGGAATTTAACCGGTATAGCCTAATAAATAAAGTATGTTACTCTATATAAATATATATATATATATATATATATATATATATATATATATATATATATATATATATATATATATATATATATATATATATATATATATATATATATATATATATATATATATATATATTTTATTTTATACATTAATTTTTTATATATATATATATATATATATATATATATATATATATATATATATATATATATATATATATATATATATATATATATATATATATTATTTTTATTTATTTAATTTTTTCTTGGCTTTAGGTCAGGTAAAAATGAGAAAACGGTTTTTTTTATATTAAATATTTCATGACGTTTCGACCTGGTAGGGTCTTTATCAAAATTTATTACTTGAACGTAGATTGTTTACTTATTACAACTTTATCATTTTCATTCTGAAATCTTAGCGAAGAAAATATATCCAAATTGGTTTCCACACACATAACACAAACATATCAATAAAGTCGTCACAATTTTTGCAAAGAGACATACACATTTAATGGATTTTACAACACTGTAAAGTGTTGTAAACAGACAACAGAGACAATTCCACGTCTTTTAAAATGAAAAAATCCTTTTGAAAAGACATCATTTTATGTAGTTAACAGGAAAGGAAGCATTTTGAGCATTTGATTTCATCTAGCTAATTTTTGTCACATAATTATAGGTTTATATCTAGTTTTAATTCTGTAATAATTAAAATATGTTTTAAACGTATATCTTTTTATTACCGTTGAGTATTTTACTACATTCTTTAATTTTTGTTAAATTAACAAAAGGTATATCACAGCCACCCTATAGATTTTTTCAAATAATAAAGATCTACTGACGCAAAATCATAAAAATTAAAATATCTAGGAAAATCTTTGTCTGAGGGGTAGGCAACCTAACTTATATTTTGAAGATATATAAATTCCCCATTGAACACCGGAATAATATGCTGGCTGTTCCATTTAAAATAAAGGAGTAACTTGCTTTTAAAAGTGGCTAATGTTCCATATTAATATAGTAAAATTTTAATTGGAACTGAAATATTTTACTTTTAAACTGTTACCATTGAATTCTGAATATATTTTCATCTTTTTTGTAACGGGACGGATTTGCAAATATCTAAAAGCTTGCATGATAGCATTTCCAGATTTTCGATATTGTTGTAGTTGCCACGATACATTTCATATTCCAAAAATCCCTAAATACAGAAATCAATAACGGACAAATCTGGGGATTAGGGAGGCCATCGTATGGGGTCCATTGTCCCAATTCATTGATTTGGGAAATAGGCATTTAGCAAAATTCTAATATTTTCAAAGTTGTGAAAGGAAGCCCCATCTTTCTGAAAGTATATTTAGCGTAAATTAGCTAAAGGAATATCTGAAAGTTCCGGTACGATAGCTTCCAAGATTTAGAAATAGCGGTAGAGAGTTAAGTATCCCTAATATATTATAAAGGATGTATTAGTGGCTCCCAAAATAAAACAAAAGACAGATAGCAGTGTACTTTTAATATTCCCTTATTTTCTTTTATTATCAATCATGGCCTACTAATAAAAATTATATTTTAATGAAAACTTTTAAATATTGCAGTAAATAGTAAAAATAAATATAGGGTGATATATATTTTTGAGAAGCTTATGGCAAGCTAGATCATGTTATTTATAAATATACATATAGTGTGTTCCATTTAAAAAACATAACTTTAGTTCATATCTTTAAAAATATTCATTTCGTAGAATAACATACTACGCCACTGTATTCTACGTAAAAAGTTCTACAATAAACAGTTTTCACTTTCTCGATACCTTTAAAATTAACAGAGATACAGGGGGTGTCCCAAATAGCAAAATTTTTAAAAAGACCTTGTAGATCAGAAACGAAAAGGAATATAAACATTTTGTTTACGGCATCTTCCTTTTGACAAAAAAGTGGGATAAGTTTGTGCAAACCGCACCCTCCTATCTTCACTAATAACGGAGATACCGTATGATTTCAACCAAAATGGGACACATCGTGTACATTACTGGTCGAGGTAATCATGATACAAAACATATCTTTTTGAACTGGATTATGATGTTTTACCAATTTTTTTAATATGTCTATAAGAAAGAAAACATTACTTTTAATTTATCTGATTACCAATCCTTTTTTAATTTCATTTTATTTTTTAATAACATCTAACGTGTTAAAAACTTTAACATTCATTTAGCGGCAAACTTTCCAACTTTTTATAAAAAGTGTCACGAACAAGCAAAAATGTCACATTGCTGATTTTTTTCCAACTGAAGCAAGAAAAGCTTTTTAATTCCGATGTAAAATACCGAACAGAACTTTCCTCAACTTTTAAGTTGCCAACTCATTAAATGAAAAAAGAATAACCTTATCAAAAATTTTCCAGAAACAAAGATTGGAAGCGGAAAATTAACAGAAAATTAGTTTCAGAGGTTCTTTAATTTTTAATAAGAGGGGGAGATACTATTTTGTATAAGATTTTTTTTTTAAATTTAACTTGTTTTGTTCTAGAGAGCTGTCTTGTCGACATTTAAATAGATTTTACGTATTTTGGATTGTTGGCGTATAGGACACAATATCCATTGATATGTCCATGTAGAGAATCTTGGACACAATCTTGGGGAGTTCGTATTTTTAAGTTTCTAGACCTATTTGGTGTTGAGATTTGTGATTTTCTTTGTTGTTTCTTGATTTTGATGTCATTGAGAGATTGATTATTTGTCACTAGACGAAATGAAACCTTATTTTTGATAGAAAGTTTTCCTTTAATCCAAAAATACCAACGTTTTATTTTTATATCGAATCCAAAAAAAAGAAAATGTAACCGATCCAGCGATATTTGTTGACGATATAACTTAGATGTGGCCCGAAAAAAATGAATTGTATAAATATTTATTATTTATTTTACCAGTATATTGGAAGAGGAGTGCCAAAAGCCAAACGGCAGTTGATATCCATTTCATATTGAGGGCTGAAAAAGAAAATATAGATTAGATTTGAAGAAATATACCTAGTTTTGGTAAATAAATAAAAAGATACAGTATCACAGATCAAGTACGCATTAGATATGTGAGATTTTTTATTTTGAATACATTAATAAATAATTTTTAATTAACAGTTAAATTTTGTTAGGCCCTGTATATTCGATCATAAACAACACAAAAGTCATGCTTAAACAAACAATTCTATAAGTAGGCTATGAAATATACATTATGACATTTATTATTGTGCAAAGTATACAGGATGGACAAACCTTTTATTTACGCAAGCTATTCATACTTTACATCACTTAAGTGTATGTTTTACAAAAAAAAAAACAATATTTCTTTAGAAGCCAACTAAAATTTAACTAAACATATGATGATTAGACAAATATTTGACTGAAAAACGTACCTAGTACCACCGGTTACTCAGGCTGCTAGTGAAATCATATCGGAGATGGGAAACAGCTCAATCAAAAAACGTGAAACAGACGGTAAGACACAAAGAGGGGTATTATAACCTTTGTTGTGGCTAATTGTTCCGATCCTGACTTCTCTGACAAAAAATTAGGAAAAAGGCATATACAGAGGACGTGGTGATACTGAAGACTCATGGAATCTGCTATGAAGAACCTAACGGAATGGGCATCAACCCAGACAAAACCGAACTCATTCTTTTTACAGTGCGATGACGAGGATTCTTACTAGACTCAAAGCTTTCCTGGAAACGCAACACGGAAGAAAGGATAATAAAGGGAACTAATCCATTCCATGCATGTAAGAAAATGTTTGGTAAAAGATGGACCAATCATTACATATGGAGCACTAGGATGGTGGGAAGCGGTACTTAAAGGGACTAATAGAAAAATCCTCATAAAAGTACCACAATTAGCAGTTCTAGGTACAACTGGAGCAAGGAACAACACAGTGCAGGCTGCGCTAGAAGCAATTCTGGACTTGCAATCAATCGACTGGCTAGTAAAGATCTGGCTGCTGAGGGCGCCCTAAGATTAAAGGAATCCACATAATCTGGGGAACCAGATCAACTACGGTTACTTGAGAATATTGCCAATGATAGGAAAAATCATGGAAAACTTTCTTTAAAGGCATTTTCTATAAATAAACTTATGTTAAACTGATTTCTGATAAATAAACTATAGTCCGTCTAGAAAGTATCCGGAAAAAAGTAAGCAAAATTACAATTATCGATATATATTTTTAGGACTTGAGTTAAAAAGATTATAACAAATTATTAATTTTATTTACTTATACAACCTCCATTTAACTCCAAACACTTAACTAAACGTCCAGGTACACCCGAAACTAGGTCCACACCAAAATGTTCAGTGGCGGTAGTCAAGGCCTGTAAAACTGAGCGAATCAAATTTTGTTTATTTCGTGGAGCTGCTCGTTCCACTTCAATCTTCATTAGTCCCCATATATTTTCAATGGGACTAAGGTCTGGTGAAGCTGCTGGCCATGGAATTATTGCCAAATGGTGTTCTTGCATTCAAGCTTGAGTAGAGACAGACGTATGGCATCTTGCATTATCCTGCTGAAAACACCACCCCTCTGGATATAAAACATGAGCCGTTTCAAGAAGAAAACCATTTAAAATATCACAATATTTTGCACTATTAATAGTTCCATCAACTATACACAGAGGTGTAGCACCACGCTGAGATATTGCTCCCCAAACCAATATTTTAGAGGGAAATTTTGAAACTTGAACGGTAACATTTTCTTTTGATACGATTTTCAGGTGGTTTCCACCAAGCTGGAAACAACTTTCGTCAGAAATAAAAACATTATTAAAATTATCTTCTTGAAAACGTTGACAAAAACCCATTCTTCGCTGTCTTTGTAGAGGTGTTATTGCAGGGATTTTTTTGGCTTCCTTGATATGTAACCTTGTCTTTTCAGTGACATGCGGACGCTTTCTGGACACACCTTTAATTTTCGCTGACTTACAAATCTGCTAACCAATTTGCGAAACCCTAGGCGCGGATTCTGTTGTCCTAATGCCACTAAAGCGTTCAAATTGTTTTCGCGAATCTTACGCGGTCTTCCTGAAACTGGTCCATGCTTCATATCTATGCCATTTTTTATCCTCTTTATTGTCTCATATACTGCACTTTTTCCGAGTTCAGTCAATTGAACTAATTTTTAACGTTTCGAACACCTTTTCTATACAAATATTCCACCATTTCTCTTTTTTTTTACTTGTGACATTATTTCTCAAATCTTGAGCCGGTTTAAAATCAACAATATTTGATAGATGATGTTGCCATGCGATTTTGGTCATAGCCTACTATCGGCACAACCTACGTGATGGATTACTATTGTCTTAGAATGTTACAGAGAAAAAAATACATTAAAATTAGGAAAAATATACAATTCCGGATACTTTCTAGACGGACCATATATACCTATAATAAGCTTTTCTCATCATTATTTCTCATACAAAGATCACTGAGAGGTCGTTTGAATTATATGATATATTTATATGCATATAAAATTTAAAAACCTCTTTATATATACAATTTCCGGATTTATTTTGAAATAAGAAAAAACATTAAAAACGATTTCCCAGAATAATAAAAACGAATAAAGACTTTTTACTAAAGCCAAAAAAGTTCTTTATGAATCCTTATCCATTCAAACATTACTTTTCCGCTACAAAACACAAAAAGAGATAAAAAGAACGGTATGTCGCTTTGAAAATGTAACAATATAATATATCAGAAATGTTTGTCAACATGTCAGACTGTAACTCGTGTATTTGAGATCTTTGAACCATATAAGGCGAGTGTTATAAGTTAAAAGTGGGTCAAATAGTAATATGTTTTGAAGTCGAAGCGTTAAAGTTTCAGAAAAACTCACAAAAGGAGAATTTAAGAAGTTCTGTGATGGAAATACGAACAACTGAAACGTTCAGTTAAAGATATTCAAAATAAGTAAGTGTGGTAATAGAGTAGACTTTATATGGACTTATTTTGTATTTACACTACTTATATATTATACACTAGCGTGTACCAGCGACTTCGTTCGCGTCGAATTAATCATTTGTAATGGTGATGATAAAGCAAAGCAAGAATTCCCATTAACACACAAACTGGATAAAAAAAAAAATTACATTACATAGGAATTTTCCACGTTTTGCAAATAGTTCTTTTCTCTTGATTTTGTTCTCTTGCAGCCATGATAATTACATATTCTTATACAGAATTTAACGCTCTACAAAGAAGGTACACACTCGGTAAATTCCTAAATTCTTCAACTTTTTTGACAAAATTATGAATATTTTTGAAAAACTTAGTCTATTACTGTAAAAATATACAATTCTGATGGTGTTAAGGTGGGGAATTAAGAAATCTTCAAGTCTAATGTAGTTTAAACTATTTAAGCTGATTTATTTTTTTTTAAATAATGTTTATTAAAATAAATCAGCTATACTTAAATGATAGGAATAACTTTTGAAGGAGTAGGTTTATCGAAAAATTGTAAGAGACCTTTTCTGTAGAGCGTTCAATACTGTACAAAAATATATGATTATCATGGCTGCGAGAGAACAAGATCGAGAAAAAAAAATATTTGCAGAAAGTGGCAAATTCTCATGTAATTTAAATGAGAAATGAATCGTCTTTGGGGCAAGGTTTATTGTGAATATTAGGGGTTACAATGGTCTGTTATTTTTTTTAGACAATAAGCTAAAAATCTAGAGGGCGTCGTTAGAGAAATAATCAACTTGGTAAATAACGGACACCCTACTCACCCAGTATAATTTCTATGATTCACCGGTAATTTTTAATAGTAATATTAACCGCATAAAATTATTCAATTACCTACCGTTCAATAAAAATCGCTGCCGATCGATAAATTAGATCGATCAAATCGATCTCACTGTCACTGCAACGGAACTCGCGTTTACACTCTCAATCGAACACTCAGTGTCATCCACCGGCCCGCTCCCTGTTTATTTATACCACGATGGGTCGTTGGACGTCTTTGTGTCATCGACCACAAGAACAAGGCGCATCATAGGAATCGGGTGTCATGATTGAGGCGCCCAAGAAATCCTTTCTTTTGCCGATGAAATGTAGTAGAGCTGGGAACTTTAGTTCACTTAAAGGTACGCGCACACTGACCAGCGCCGCACCCGTCGCACGCGTCTCACGAATCGCACTTTTTTTTCTTGTCGCTCATCGCATTATTCGCTCTTTTGTTTCTTCTTGCCCCTACAATACCTGTATTTGCCAATCGAATTTCTCACCAATCGCTTCCGGAGTTCTGTCTGCAGTGATAAGCGTCTTTTTTAATATTTCTCGACAATGAATGACGACGAACAAGAAATAATTATGAGCTCCTTGCTAATAAAGGAAGAAGAAATCACGAGAAAGAATCGAAAGTTCACAATATTTGCAAACATTTTACCTTTCAGAGGGAAATTCCACACATGGTGCCCCGTGGCGTAGAGGTACAGCTCTCGTCTACCAATCCAAAGGTTGTAACGTTTTCAGTTCGTTACATGTCTTGTATATGATATATGATGTCTGGCTTACATTTCATCACCGGATTCCGTATCGCTCAGGCCTGACAATTTACTTGACGCGCCTGGCGTAATTTTTACGTTCTCTTGTCAACAACCCTGTTATCGTTTCACTGCTTCTGTGGAGCGCTGTCAAGATCGTTTCAAGGCGCCTCTCCGCGCTTAACGTTACTTTGGGTTTGGCCATCTCAATAGTCCCGACGAGAGAAATTGTAATTATTTAAATCTTGCTGTATAATTTGAATCAGCTGCTATTTCAAAGCAACAGGTAAAGATGAGATATTATCTTTATTAGATTCGTTATTATTATTGAATATTTTTAGGGTAGAGTTTTGGATTGACCCACCTTAACTCGTATTTGTATTTTGCTGGCACATTGGTGTTCTTTTGCTTTTGTCCTCCAGAATGTTACATGGAAGAAATACTGAGCCCTCGGAAGTAATTCGAGGTAGGTTTATTTTGCTTATTAGACCTTGTTTGGTTTTAAACAAGAGTTTCGTATTTTTAAGGTCCAAGGTTATTGTCCAAGTTACGGACTGTATCCTATGGATGGATGCCCTATGTACGGATGTCCTGTGGACGAGTGTCCCATGTAGGGTTTATCTTATATATAGAGGATGGGTGTACGTGGATGTAGATTGAGGCCCATGCTGCTTCTTTCCCATTTCTAAGCCTAGTCAATAGTTACGGCTGTATTGATTCATGGTGTCCTCATTCTGGCCCCTTTTGTTGTATTGGCCAACAGGATAGCCGAGAGACAGTCCAGAGATGCGATCGCACCTCACGCTGTTACTGTTTTGGTGTGTTTAGACTTGAGCACGCACGCACTGATCCTCCGCGAATGCTCAAGTGTAAACGGCTGTGCGTGCACGCTCACTCTGAATCTGTCTGTGCTCAAAGGGATTTTATGTGTGCGCGAACGTTCAGTTTGCACCGGCAATTTGTTTTGTCGTTCGTTCGTGCGTGCGTGTGTGATTTTTTTTCGTTTTCTTTATTAAAATTATGGAGTGGATCAATGAATCTTCGTTATTATTAATTGAAGGATATGAAAAGTTGCCTATATTATGGGATGTTAAACATTCTTTGTATTATTAAAAAATAAAAAAAAAACGCATGGCAAGACCTTGTAAATAAAATTAATATTGAACATGTCGATATTAATGAAATTGCTATTCTAAAATTTGTATCTTTTGTTCGTAATTTTTGGTGTTATTAAATTTTGTAAATATTCAAAGTCGGGCCTGGTCATTCTTGTAAAGTTTTTAAACTGATCATAGCCCTCCTCAGACACTAAGTTGTTGCAGTAATTATATCGATTTCTAAAAATTTGGGTTTGCCACCAGCGACGATGTTTTCGATTTTTCTCCTTTTTAATAATTAAGCTGTGCATAACAATGACTGCAGCCTGGACTATTTCTTGGTCGTCCATTATTTTCGCCAACACAACTCTGCTGTGCGCGCACAAGTGGATCACTTCATTCGTCGAAAAATACGTTTTTAATTTGAACTGAGCCGCGAGCGCGAACGAATGCCGTGCGCGCACGCTCAGCTCGTGCGTGCTCAAGTCTAAACGCACCATTTGAAGCATGATTGCATAAAAAACAGCTAAGTGTAGATGTAAGTTCTAGTTTTCAGTCTTAACATAATAATGTACATTTTAAATAATATTGTACAGACTATGTTTAGTGGTTAGATCGTTAAGAACATTTATGTCGATTTAGTAGTTACAATATGATTTAGATCTTAGGTTTCATTACATTGCGTCTTGTAATTGGGTTTACCATCAGAATACATCATGAATGAATATAGTCACTAGTTTTAAGTAATAAACAACTGTATTTTCTTTCTCTGTTCATGCCTGGCGCCCAATATTTGTATTTTTGATTTATTATTATTGATTAGTTTTCTTTCCAGTGAAATACCTTATCTACAACTGCTCTCCGATGAAAAGCTGCCGTTCGCAGTGGTAGTTGTTTAAAAAACGCTATAAGGTTGTGGGTTCGAATCCCACACCCGACATTTCATCAGCCGACTATTTTTAATAAAATAAAAATAGTTTGGGTACCTAGGTAGACTCAGCCTTAAATGAGTACTTGGGATTCACAATCCTGAGGTAATAATAGGCGGTTGAAGCGTAATGCTAGCCACATTACCTTCCTTGTATACCGAACGGCTCTAGTATGGCAAGCCTACTCCCAAGGCGTTAAACGCTATATACGGGAGCTATTATTATATTATTCCACAAATTATTATCATATTTAATTGAGGACGAACTAAAAATTTTTCAATATTTCAAAATGAGCCATGAAAAATTTGCGAACAATATAACGAGACGTGTAAATGTGTATGTTAAAAACATATAGGTAAGTTTTATTGCAGATAAAAAAAAATAAAATCAAATCAGAGTTTACAAATCACAAATTAATTGGAACAAATAATACGAAAATTTTACGAAAAATGCATTTTTCCTCACTTCAAGCTTTCCGTTATTGTCTAAAAATTCAGAATGTCTATTTGGTTTTATAAGATATTTCTTAATTTTAGGGACCTAAAGTGAAATATTCCCATAAAATATTCAAAGAACAAACTAAAAATCAAAAACAGTATCCACGACAATTTTCTGTGGTAATTACGCCGGCTGTGGGAACAGACAAGGCCGAATCCATAGTAGTCGCTTTGTATTGTATCTTGGATCTGCCGACTGAATAGATTCCCGTGAACTAGTCTTTTAATTAGTTCCTCTCAGTCCTTTTGGTCCGGGACAGGTGGCACTCTCCATTCCCGCCCAACATTGGGCTACGATCACGCTGGCCGATCCGTACGTAAACTAGTCTTTTATTTAGTTCCTCTAGTTCCTCTAGGTCCGAATCCGATAATATACCGCGTCGCATATTATTATATATGGGTCACAGTTTGACGTTTTATGGTTGTCACAGTCACAACCTGGAACTAGTTCCTTTCAATCCAGGGTGGGAATAGCTCATTGAAACTAGTTCGTTCACGAACTACACACCTCTACATACGAGATTCCATCTTTTGAACTAGTTCGGTTGTGAACTACACAGCTCTACTTTCTTCTGCCGATGAAGAGCAGCAGCACGAGCCTGAGCTGACGCCCACAAATCGGAAGGGAAGTAGTCAATTATGCTGGTCGCGGATGAGGTCGTACCTTGAAGGATTCAAAAATAAAAATATAAACATTAGAGCTGCATGTTTGGGTTTGACAAATAGTACTATTGACGTACTTCATAAGGGAGGGCGTATTTATCGCGATGATAAGAAACATCTGCGTTATATTTTTTTTAATTTTTGTGTAAATAATTACTAATAGTTCTAGAATTTGTAAGAATGTGCATAATAAATTTTAATATTTAACCGTTAAAAATTCTGAAATACTTTACATATAAAAAATGTTAATTTTTTAATTCTCCGTCCAACAAAAAAATACATACAGGGTGTTCCATTTAAATAAAAACAAAGAAACATTATTTTATACCCAGTAGAAGTAAACATATTTTCTTGAAATACATTCTTAGTACATACTTTAAGTTAAACAAAATTCGTATATTTTTTATTATAAGAGCTATAAAGGCCCGACGCATTGTTGCAGGACCCTGTATATGTGGGGTTAAGACAAATCAATATATAGTTGATATCAAATAAACTTTAAGTCACGTGATTAAGCTTGACATATTCTTTTAATCAAAATATTTTAGGAAACAAAAATAAATTAATTATAAATATTATATAAAGAGTTATCAACAAAATTCACCTTCGTAACAGGACATAAAGAGCCATTACTATTACTACTGCTCTTTCCCGTTTAAAATAGTCTATTAAGGTTGCATTGAGTTTTTTACGTACACTTCGCACTAAAAGAGGTTCTAAAGAGAATAATGTTTGACTGCAATGTCTGCTAGTAAACATTTTTAAATTTAAAGTATCACACCATTATTTATTTAAACCAAAAACCCGCAATAAAAAACTAAAGTGTCAAAACGAATAACAATTTCAGGAAATAAATAAATAAATGTGGCAACTTGACATTTTTTACAGCAGAGCTACCACCTGAATCCCCAGCGGGAAATTTAAATTCCAGTTAGTCAGCCAGGCGCCGAATATATCCATGGTTGGCAACAATGAATTTAAAAATCGCGCCCTCGATTATGTAACTGAAAGTTTAATTGATATCTGACTGACCAATCGTCTGCCTTTCTTTTTTGTATAAGTAATTTTTGCGAAATAAATTAAAGTTTTAGTTCGGGAAACAATATACCTAAAGTAGAGAAAATAGAAATATAATAAATAGATATAGTCTGTGAAACGAATAACTTTGAATTTGAGAGTTCCCGCGGGCTTTTCTAGTGCTAATTTTATTAGGTTAGCAACTTGCGGCCATGCTGACGCAATGCCGTCTCTAATAGAACAGCCTCG